ATGTATATATGTATGTATTATGTATGTATGTATACATGCGTATGTATATACATATAGATATGGGTATTTATGTGTATATATATATTTATACACATGTATATATGTGTGTGTGCATACATACTAGCTACATATACATAGTAGCTACATATACACATATACATGTACATTTCAATGTACATATAATGTAGACCTACATTATGTGCACACATACATGGCGGATTTGCGTTCAGGGTGGGGGCAATGAGAGTGAAGCCATAAGCTTCCGTTGTCAGTTGAAAGCGCTGGCAACGATTACGGCCAGTTACCTGCAGCGTGCCCTGCCATGAGACAGACATGCCATGCGGGTTCATGTGGGGGTTTCCGAAATTAGGGGACCCTAATATAGTACCCTAAATAGTAGGATCCTTATTATAAGGACCCCAAAATAAGGTACCCCTAATTTCCGAAATTCCCATGTAGCTAGCCTTTGCGAACTGCGAGACCGAAAGGAGTTTGGACACGGGCTAGCAGGATGCTGGTTCCGAAGATAAGCGTATACTCCGCTGGCAAGGTGCCATTTGACGCCGGAAAGCATCAAGGAGATGATGATCATGAGCCCTGCGACGAACTTGATCAGGGTGGCCACATCTGCGGACTGACTGCGGAACTGTGCCTTCAAGGGGCCCAAGTCCTGAAACAGGTGCTCCGGATAGAAGTACCAAGACAAAGCCACACCAAGCAAACTGATGGCGATGAGGTCGGAGAAGTTGCCGTGGTTGTTCTTCACCTCTGGGGTCTTCGGTGGGAGCGGGTTGGAGGGAAACGCGAAGATGTGCAACGCCCCGAGGAGGATCAATCCTGCGTAGACGTAGAACAAGCGTGGGAGGAAGACCTCACCGTCCGCCTTGAAGACGCTGTAGATGAAGTAGCCCATGGTGATGAAGGCGCCAAACCCGGCCATCTTTCCATTCACCTGGTGTGGCCCAACTCGTATCTGCAAACCGTAGCTTTCTAGGGTCGGTCTAGTGAGATGCTTACTAACTATGTTGTTTGTCCAGAAGTGTTCAGGGGCTCCAATCATTGCAAGTGCAAACTAACCCCCGTCCACGTCGTACTGTTTCTGTTGCACGCTGGTTCCTGAAATCATATCGTCGAAGCCCGACATACGAAGCACCGCAAAGTAAGGGACGCCTTATATAAGCCCTGTTGCAGGGTTCCAACTGACTGCTGAGAACGTCATGCCCAAGAAGAGGAGCAGCCCTGCACCAAACTTGATGAGAGCATCCATGTCCGGGCTCTGGGCCTTGAACTGTGCCTCCACAGATCGGTTCTGTGAGTCGCTTGCAATTTGGGGGCTGAAGATTTCGGGAAGTTCATCGGGAGAGGGTCCCTTTTACAGCGTCTTACCTATGGTCTCCATTGTAGTTACTTTTTTTCGTTTAACCAAATATATAATAAGGATTTTATAAGGTATCCCCAAAAAGGAACTACAATGGAGACTATAGGTAGAGCTCTACACCCCAGCCTTCAAGGGGCCAACATCCTCGAAGAGGGTACCCGGGTAGGCCAACCACTGTACGGTGACCCCGACCAGGGCCAACAAGATTAGGTCGGACAAGTTGCCTGGCTCCATGTTGCAGCTATATTATATAAAATGCTCATTTTTAATCCTTATTGGTTTTATTATAACAAAAAGGTAAAATTGTAGCCAACAAGGACCCAGTTGCCATGGGCCATGGCGTTTTATTGGGGAGCGCTCCCCGAGATTAGATCCCCGGTTTAAACCCTCGAGCCGGCGGGACAAAAGAGTGCAGGCAAGCAGCTTCGACGGTAAGGCGGGGCTGTGCTATACTTAAAGGATCATGGGGCTTAGTAAGTAGGGTTATAATTAGGGTAACTATACTTCTAACCTCAATTAAGGGCCTTATAACCTGACTTACTAAGTCCCATGATCCTCCAAGTACTCCTGATGCTCTTGCTAAGGTTGCTACAGCTACTGCGACGATGATGCATGGAACTTGCAGATGGCGGGGGTTGATGCTTTGCTCCTGCTTCTGACGGCGATGCTGCATAGTATTAGAATAAGACCACAGACAGCAGCACCAAGAATCGTCTTATACTATGAGGGCATGGCGCAGCATGTAGAAGATGCTGTAAAACGACAGAGTCGGACAGTGTTTTTGTAGCATGTTCTGGCACGCGAATGTACGAATATGACCGCATATGTTAGCTCTGAGCGGCCTACCGCAGTCACGTGCCGATTTTGAAGCGCCTCTAAGCGATTCAGGCACTGCTCCACCGTGTTGCTGCCAAGATCCTGCGCATTGCGGGGGAAGGATTAATTATGGCTTGTCCTGCAGGGATGGACCAGGGCGTAGCGTACTGCGTGGCATGTACGGCGCGATGTAGACAGAAAGAAGCAGCTATCTAGTCTTCAACATTAAACTTTCTTGCGTTGTTGCTGATTCTGAAGCAGATGCTGTGCTTCGGAACTTTCGTAGAGGAGGGTCAGTTGTCTCCATGGGCGAATGACGGCTTGCTGACCATGCATATTCATTTCACCAATCGATCCCCAGCATTACTCTGAGATGCCTGACGCAGGCAACGATGCATCAAGCTGCACTGGAGGTGCATGCAGTATTTTGCAAGCTTGTCAAGCACTTCTCGGATGTTTGGCATTGCCACTTGTGAAAGATCCTCCGTGTTGCGATCGCTTCAGGATCGGAAGGGGGACCTTGCCTACAAAAGAACCTATGCTGCTACTCTCGCGCCCGTGGAACTGGGAAGTGGCATCGCCGAAGCTCAGAAGCTGAATGTCAGGAGCCTCAGCCAGTGTGATTTGTCAATGACTCTTTCTCTGCAAGACATTCCTTAACACCAACTAACCTATCACCATCTTTGTAAGGACTTACATAAAGAAAACATAATAAGGAACTCCCAAAAAGGTAGGTCTTTAGGGTCCAGGTTGAAGGTCACTCCTGCGACCCTTAAGCTACTGACCCAGGCTTGTTCTCCGAGACTCACTGCCTGCCACCTATCTATCTAACCGTCTCTCAATGTATCGATCAAGCTAGCTACCTATGATCTATATCCATCTAGCCAGCTAGCTAGCTAGCTGGCTCTCCGACTCGCTGTCTGTCTGTCTGTCTGTCTGTCTGTCTGTCTGTCTGTCTGTCTGTCTGTCTGTCTGTCTGTCTGTCTGTCTGTCTGGAAGCATGACCGTAGCCACAACAGGTCAAACATATCAGAAGCAGTACCAATAACAACAATGATGACAAGTCCCTTTACAAAGCTCTCCCAGATGTACGGCCCAGGATCGGCTGGATGCCTTAAGCCCGAACCTTAAAGTTTCTGGCGGTCGCTGCTTGCACCTCGGGGACTGCGACCGCAAACCAGGCAAACACAGCAGCGTCTTATGGGATTCAGATTTTAGACTCTAGAGGGGTTTGGGGCTTCGGGTCTTGTGTAGTCCCAATGAAGCATCAGAAAAGTGCCGGCAGAGTCCATCCAAGCCGCGGTGTGGAAGAGCAATGCTGGGAAGAAGGTAACATGAGACCACTCGTAGCGCAATTTGGCCGCCTCGCCTTCACCGCAGCTTTGATTTGGGGGGGGGGGGAGGACAATAGTTTGTTAAGTGATGCATGGTTGAAGAGTTGTAGAAATTTACCATGGGCTGGCACCAAGCCACTTTGTCGTTCCAGGGCTTCCAGAGTTGCTTCTTCAGCTGTGAGGCCATGGGCGATGCCCTGGAAGAGGGACCCGGTGAAGGCATAGCTCAGGTAGTAAAGGACTGGGTCATCGGTGAGTGTGGAAGCCAATCGACACACCAAGGAGCCCAGAACCACCACAGGTTTCAAGGGGTTCTTCCGGAGCGCCAGGAAGCTGAGGAAGCCCAGCACAGCACAACGGATCTGGAGCTTTTGGTCTTGCAGCTTCTTGCCACAGAGTCGCCTTAGGAGCGCCCAGGCCGCATACCATCCAGCCATCAGCAGCAGCCCCCTTTCATAGGCCTTCCTATGGATTCGCCTCCTGGCCGTCGCCTGTGCCCAGGTGAGGGCCAGGACCATCGCTCCGGGAGCTGCGGCCTCAAAGCGCTCCACCGTGGCCAAGGGCGAAAAGCGGAAGGCGAAGGCCACGGAAGCACAGCTCGCGAGCCGGGCCAGTAAGGGAGCTGGGGACCAGCAAAGGCAGGCGAGCCAAGCTGCTACTGATCCAGAGCTAAAGATCCCAAGTTTGGCGAAAGACACCGGCAGCAACACATCAAGATGTCGCAGTAGACCGAAGTTCCCAAAAGTTTGAATGAACAGTGCCACGCAGTGGAGCGCCAGGTTAATACGGCCGTAGTGTCCTGCAGCGAAGTGACGGTAGCCAACGGCATAGGAGTCCCCAGCCACATGATTCGCGAGCGACTTCCAGGGATAGAAGTAGAATGGCCCCGGCGAGAACAAAAGCCACTGCCACAGCCGGGTTGATAGAGCGATCTGAGACGTCATTGCGGGGACGGGCGACACGAGCGGAGCCTGGGTCAGATAGTTCAGACAAACGACATCGAGCTACTCGATACTTCCCTGCGTCAGATCAGAACTATGCCACACAAGCGGCCGTGAGCCAATGCTGTGCAACAGCACGACCTACACATGACTACAGGAAAGTGGCATACGTGGTCATTACGTGCGGCCAAATGCAAAACTGGACCGAGAAGGCAGCGGCAAGGTTATCAGGAGCCTGTTGCTGAGCCGGAATGGACTATTCTGAGAATTCTCAAAAATCTGCAGAGAGAGTGCAGCTGCAATGACATCCTCACTGGCAGAATGGCCCTCAACATCCTGCCAGCTACTCCTAAGCCCGAAGACATCCTCTTGGCCTAAGGCTGAAGTTTCCAGATCAGAAGTCCCGATCGTAGCTTCCATCGTCCCGCAAGGGCACAGCCTGGGCCGACTCATGAGCAGTTGAGAGATATAATGAACTATCTATAATATAATGACATGCCGAATCATCCTGTCCGTGTCAAAGTCACCCCATACTTCTTCTTTGTCTTCTGCTACTATACAAGATTTTCGCTGCGATGGATGTGATCTGTCCCGTGCGACTTTCGGGGACAGAGCCAACAGTCACATACCTGTAGCACTCAGTTCATGCTGTTGCAGGCACTGTCACGACATAGAAGCCGTAAGTGTAAAACTTGCACGCCTGAGTCTCACAGTTCGAGCTCTCGAAAACAAGCGCCGCGCTGCCAAACGCATGGATATCTCCTCGAACTCCTCAAAGGTTGAGCTTACTGTTCAGTAGGTGTCTTTTTGGCTGCAGACAGGCCGAGTGTGGGCTTGGGCTTTGTGGAAAAAGGCTCCATCTAGCAGCCACCGTGTAAGTAACATTCTGCTTCCCACGGCCAAAGCAAACTCCCACGACGAGCGGATGCAATCTGAACCCCAACACAACCCTAAACCTTAAACAGCCTTAAACCCTATAGACCCTAAACCCAAACCCTGAACCCTAAACCATCCTCAACTGACGCAAGACATGGGACACGGAGGGGGCCTGGCTCAACTCCTCGGATCGTTCAGCAGGGCGCGGAGCATTCTGCACCAAGGTTCAGAAAGGGCTCTCTCTGAAAGCTGATGTAGGGGCCTTAATGATTAGAATAGGGCTTTGGGGGCCCATTCTACTATAACTATAATAAGGAAGCCCCAACATAATGTAGGTAATTATCGAGGCATGCTGAACCGTCAAAAAGCAAACAGGGCATCCTGTTACTGTCTACACTACACAGCATAATGTCTTGCATGTCTCGCCATGTATATCCTACCTATAGTCTCCATTGTAGTTCCTTTTTTGGGCTACCTTTTCGGATCCTTAATATAGGAATGGCTAAGCCACAAAAAGGAACAACAATGGAGACTATCGGTAGGCCCGAAGCCACCGCGAAAAGATGGGGGGGCGCATGCTTTGACGCACTTCCGGGGGCCGGAGACTTCAGTTCGAGTCTCCAGAACCCGAAAGATGCAATCAAACAAATTCAATGGGTTCTCCTCGTTTAGAAGTCGGAGTTCGAAAAAAAAAAACAATGGTATCTCATGGTGATGGGCTGGGACATGATGCGGCAGCAATTTTTCTATAGGGTCTCAGTTTGGTGCGCTCTTCAAATCTTCGGACTTCGATTTGGTGCCCTTTTGGTCCTTCCCTGCCCTGCAGGGCCCCTGGAGGATGCACCTCTTCGGCGTCTTCAATGAGCCTCGGTAGACATCTGGGGCTTTCCGAAAATACGGGGTACCTTATTTGGGGGGTCTTTATAATAAGGATCCTACTATTTGGGGTACTTTCTTAGGGTCCCCTATTTTCGGAAACCCCCATCTCTTGCAGGATGCTGGACTTGGCTCACAAGATCAAAAGTTACCCCTGACCCTCTGTAAACTCGATACTTCCGTCAGCGAAGCTGCTCCCCAAAGTCAAAGGGGCTCAGAGCCCGAAATCACTCTGAAGATCTCTCATTTACTTGGCGGAAATGGCGGAAAACTGCAGCCAAGGGACACCGGGGGCAAATCTCGGTCCTCCACGCCAAGGTCGGAGGCCTGGGGTCCGATCTTCAGTGGGGCTCTTGAGTGGCTCGTAGGGTTTGGGGTTTCGGCTCGGACGGTTTAGGGTTTAGGGTTTAGGGTTTCGGTTCGGAGTTGGCGAGTGAATCAGAGCTGCAGACGGAGCTGGGACTTTCGGGGAAAGTGTCACGGCAGTGGGGTTTACGGACCTCAAAACCAGAAAACAGAAACGAATGAAGTCGGTGAGGTGTCGCCTCTTGGCCACCATTGGGCATCAATGCGCAAGCTGCAGCCTTGCAGAGGAGTTTTAGGTTTACCCGAAGGCTGAACTGGCTGCTGTCCTTACCACTCGTGACCCGAGAGCCAATCCGGAATCTTGGGCTGTGTATCTACAAGACACAGCAACATCGGTTCCTTAAGGACGAAATGAACCTTAAAAGGGTTCAAGGTTCATATACCATATAGGGAGTAATAGTACAAGGGTATAGGGCCCTCACTTTTAAAGGGTCTTTGGTCTTTAAGGTTTAGAGCATAGAAAATTCAATAGTCCTTGGTGACTTGTTTGTGGAGCTCATCAGCCTGGATGAGCGGCTCGCCGTACGAACAGCAAATAGTATCATAACCCACGCTAGGCGCTAGACTCCTGATTCAACATCCAGTTTCATTGTGGAATCCTTAAGGGAGGGGGTTCTAAGGGGGGTATATAACCCAGTAATCAATTCTCCCTAGTACTCCCTTAGGTTCCCTAAAGCTCCCTAGGACCCTCCCCCCTTGAGCCACCCTCCCTTAAGGATCCTATAATTTCAGGTGGCGCCAAACTAGTTAACCAAAGGCAATACTAGTAGTAGACAGCGTCTCCATAAGCCGCAATAAAAACCACCATGATACTAGTGCGAACAACAAGTGCACATCAGTGGCAAGAAGAATCTGAACGAAGCATCCTCGTCCGAATACCGAGGGTGGTAGTATCCTCCGTCACAAAAAGAATGTCGCGTGCCGCCTTCGCTTCCTCAGCAGCTTCAGCCTCGCCGAGGTCAGGGCTCCGGCTTTTGGCGCCGCCGGGCATAAGATTTCGACTCTCACACTCGCACCAGACAGGCAAGGCTCCACATAGTTTTGGGGCTTGGTTCAGGGTTGACGGGAACTAAAACTTGCCAGATACTAGAGCTGAAACACCTTCGGCCCTCGGCATGTGTTAACCTTGTCAGGAAGAGGCTACTCCGCAGAATCAATACAATCCCTCGAGCCCGTCCCACAGGCACCTCAATCATCGCCAGTGCAGCGAGTTTCGCCTCAAGCAGGCTATACTGCTCCTGGCGCGCAGGAAGGGTGTGCGATTTAGGCTTGGGGTTTGGGGTGTACCATTTAGTGATTCAATCTTGGCTCTGACAGCCTCAGGTTTCAGGGCCCAGGGATGGAGGCTGAGGGGTTTGGAGTTTTCGGGTGGTGTGGGGTGTGGGGGTCGGGGCTTACGCGACAAACCCTACTTCGATCACTGAAGGTCTCCATCCGTTCCACGAAAAGTTGAGGGAACGATTGAAAGTCTTCTCACCGCAGAAAAACCGACGACTCTGTGCCCTAAACTCTGAAAGTCTACATCCTTCCAGAAGAGCGCGCCCAAATACCTAGTACCATCCACTTCCATGCCGTACCTAAACCCCTCGCGGCCACCTCTTTTGCATTGAACTCCGCTTGCCAGTACTCCCTGGCCTGGAACATGGGATCTGCAGTTGAACCCTAAACCCTAAACCCTAAACCCTAGGACTTGTCAGACTCCAAAGGATCTTGAGCTTGGCAGGCCACTTCATGTAGTTGCCTTAATAATTAGGGTTTAGGGTTTAGGGTTTAGGGTGTTGCCTTAATAATTAGAATAGGGTTTTGGGGGTCCCTTGATGTAATTAGAGTATATAATATACCCCTAAACCCTATTCTAACTAAGGCCCCTATATAATTCAGGGACCGCGGCATGCGGAGAAACTTTAGAGCCGGGTACTACATGAAGGTATCTGGGCAAACATGGACGCCCGAACGTAGGTACGTGTGTGTGTGTGTGTGTGTGTGTCCATGTTCATGGCTCCTTCAAGCCTGAATTCTGAATTCTGTCGGGCACAGAACTCGCCTCCTTCTCCCTCTGCAGGTCCTGTTGTGCTTCCTGCGATGCGGGACCGGGGCTCAGGGTCTGTAGGGCCTGGTCCAGGCGCCGGAGTTTGCAGCGCTGCTTCAAGGTGGTTAAGCAGACGTAGAGATCATTCTCCCCTTGTTGTCCCCTACAGCTGGGTGTCTTGATCCAACTGCAAGGATCTTTCGCCAACCCCTGGAGCCTCGTGTTCGTGAAAGTCTCCGGTTTAGTTGTACCAGCGGCAGATCAATCAGTGTGCTCAAGCCATCCTGATCATTACCGTCATGAGGCATCGTCCCCATGCCCGTCATCACCTTCAAATCTTCATTGATTCGTCTTGGCAACCCTTGTCGTCGTCATGATCATATTCGTCACCCGACAGCGTCGCCATCCCTGTAGCGGACATGCTCAACAACCGCCATGGCCTACGTAAGTCATGATTGAAGTGATAACCTAACCAGCTCAACCCCATGACCACAGCATTCTATAAAAACTATAGCAGTCACGATGCGGGCAGTGTATATGACAACGGCGGAATGTCAGTGCTACAAGATTGCAGAGATGCCTTGAGAATACTGGCTAGTGGTACTAATCGCAGAACGGTTGAGAATAAACATGCCGAAAAACAGACAACGCAGTGGTACCGCAAGAAATAGCGGCATCCCAGCAGAAATGGCAAAAGCAAAACTAATCATGGCCGTGCTGATAGCCTCAACCCCAAAAACACAGCACTCAACCCTCGGCCCTAAACCCTGAAAAGAAGCTATGTGACTAATTAGTGCAGCTGACCTGGAGCTTGCGTTTCAAGTCGGAGCAGCCGGAAAGCCTGCAACGCCGTGGTGGTGAGGACTCACGGCTTTACGGGTTAAGAGCTAGAGCTTGATTCCTCAAATTCGCAGTCACAATCAAGACGAGGGCAGTCGTTCCATACCTTAATTAAGCAGATTTCGGACGACAGATTCCGTTCCCGAGCGAGAGCCTGGCGGCGTTTTGCTGGCGTTCTGCCTCTAGCTGGCTTTGCAGCCAATGCACCTGCGCTCCAGGAATATCACTAATCACTGAGAGCGTGGGTCATCAGAAAGTGCACTGCTGCAGCATCCACGTATAATTCGCATGCGCTAACCTGCCGATCAAATCAGTCGCCCAAGGATATGCTTCCGAAGAATAGCGGCACACAACTTCGCCATGCTGCGCACCTCCTCCCGCAGGAGATTTGATTCACATTCGGCCTTGCTGACCGCCACCTAGCGCTAGGGAGACCATCCTTAAGGACGAAATGAACCTTAGAAGGGTTCAAGGTTCATATATCATGTAGGGATTAATAGTATAAGGGTATAGGGCCCTCACTTTTAAGGGTCTTTGGGTCCTTAAGGATGGTGAACGCACTATCTGGCCACACCTGGCTCCCCCAACATCCCTTTGCCTCACGGGGAATCCTTTGAGTATATAATGTAGGGGCCTTAAAAAAGTAGAATAGGGTTTTTTTTTGGGGGTCCTTTATAGTAAACTTATAATCAGGAACCGCCAAAATCATGTAGGTAATTATATTACTATAACTTACGACTGATCCCCAGTAGGATTGCCGGGATGTTCCTTTACTAGAGGATGGTGCGGACCTCCCAATCTAAAGCAGAACATCGTCTGCACAAAATCCTGCTGAAGAGCACTCCCTAAAAGTTACGGTCTGCCATGTCAAAACCGCAATCCAAATCCCTAACCCCCAGGTACCTACGAAATAGGGTACTAGAGCCCCTAGGGCCCTGCATAGTAGGTACCTGGGGGCTTAGGGAATAATATCTATGACGGTGCTGATCCGTGCTATTACTTCTAGCGGCCCGTGTCAAAAGCTGGGAGACTGGGGCTCTAAGGTAGCTCCAAGACACCGCGAACTCTGGCTCTGGCTCGTCTCCAAGATCTGTAACCGATGTCAGCTGTTGGAATTTTCGGGCTCAGACTTCGAATTTTCGGGCTCAGACTCGGGTGCTTTGTACACGATTCCCAAACCAGGCACCAAACCTTGCCATCCCCATCATGAGCCTGAGCAACGTAAGCGCAGAACGCCCAAAAGATGTTAAGACACCGAAGCCGAAACCTTTCAATCACTGAAGATTTGCGTCGGCCTCCAAAGCTTGCCGCACCTGCGGGCACCAAAGGGCGCCAAGTGCAAGAGTTAGTACCGCTTGGCTCTCATGGGTTGTGTGTTTCCAGCTTGACTGAACTTGAGGCCCAGACCTCAATAATCCCTAAAACCCCCTTTCGCCCTTTTTTGCAAGAGGCCTCGTTGTCCAGCAACTCGGTCTAGCCAAACACACACTCCCCTAAGCTACAGTGCAGCAAGGAGAGCATGCAAATCGACACTTCCGAGGAAACTACTTGAAATCTAAGCAGTTTACTGGACCGCAAACCCCTGCAAGAAAAAAAACTTTCACCACAAAAAAAACCCAGGAACTGTTAGGAATCCCTTTGTAGGCAGCCCTCAAAGTGCGCTGGAGGCCTCAGCCTCGAAGGCGTTTCCCATTCTTCGCAGGCGCTCCCCGAAGCAGCCAACGGCTCCTCAAGAATGGCCAGAAGGATTCTATCAGGGTTGCTACTTAAAAGGGTGCGGAATGCATGGGTCGTCGTGTTACTTTGCATTCTTAAGACTGTAGAAAACCGAGGTGTCAGGGATACTTTAGACAAAGCAGGTTTGCAGCTCAGGCTGGAAACTGTTGTAAACGGTACAAGTACAAGCATTCACTCAGCCATTATCACATAAACATCGCTGTGTCGTCGTCGTCATCATCACCATATATCACCATCAACATCACAGTCATCAAGGGCCAGTCGAGGCGAGGTATGCCAAGGATATGTGGAGTACCCAGACTTGTCGTTGAGACTGGAGGCCAGAGAGTGCTTCAACAAAACGCCGGTGGCATAGCAAAACCCTAAACCCTAAGCCCTTTTTTACACAGGCTTGACTGGAGCTCGCCCGGCCAATGTCCCCCGTAGCACATCGCACTCGTGGCGAGATGCCCCTAAGCCCTAAACCCTAAACCCTAAACCCTACTGCTCCATCGCATCGCGGATCCTTCTTGCTGCGGCGAGGAGAAGAACAATATCATAGTCGTCACTGTTGTGGTTTGCAGGGCTTAGAACTCTATGCATTCTTGTGCGGGCTTGCTTGGGGTGGGTTTAGCAGTGTTAGGCCTTTCAGCGTCAATAGGCTTGGGGTTGCTGGCTTTAGCGATTTGGGGGAAGGCTGGAAAGCTTCAGGGGCTTTATGGGCTTGAAAATAATTCGTAGGCCTCCAGGGCTAAGGCTAAGGGATGCTGGGTGCTCCTCTTTCATGGGCTCTAAAGTTTGAGATTTCGCGGTTTGGGGTCAAGGATCTAGGGTTGCAGGGTTTCGTTTTTTTCCTGGCCGGGCTTTAGGGGTTGGAACTCGGGACGCTAGTTGTGTGGGGTTCAGCTTTCCGATTTCTTTGAGTGGCGTGCCTGCCTTAAGGACCAAAAGACCCTTAAAAGTGAGGGCCCTATACCCTTATACTATTAATCCTTATATGGTATATGAACGGTGAAGCACAGGGCTAATGTGCCGCTGGTTCAGGGCGAGCTCAAAGGGGCCAGTACCCAGAGAACCCAATACCCCTTAATTAAGGAAAACACTTTAAATTATAGGGGCCCTAATGTTATGATTTAAGGTATATTCCTTAATGAAGGGGTATTGGGTTCTCTGGGTAAGGGGTTACACACGCTTTGAGTCCGAGTTTGCTTCAAGCCTGAGTGTGCGCTCAATCCTCACCAAACACTCGCGCAAACAAAATATCATGCAGCCAAACCCCCTGAGCCCAGAAAATCCAACCTCTACCATGTCGCAAAGCCCGCCTCCACGGAAACTCATAGAGGGCGGCAGCACAAAAAAATCCTAAACCTAAACCCTAAAGCACCTAAACCGCAAAAAAGCACCTAAACCGGAAAAAAAAAAACAGTGACACCTAAGCCCCTTACATAAACCCTAAACCCTAAACCCTAAGCCCTAAACACTAAACCCTAAGCAGAGGGAAGCCTGAACTTGGCAGCTGCGAGGGGCGGATCTCTGCCATGGCGCCGAGCTGTTTTTTTTGGTACTAAATTCCCAGCGAACCCAATACCCCTTAATTAAGGAATATATCTTGAATTATAGGGGCCCTAATATACCCCTTTATTAAGAAATATACCTTAAATCATAATATCAGTGCCCCTATTCCTTAATTAAGGGGTATGGGGTTCTCTAAATTCGGACTGCCGCATGGGAACTGGGCCCCGAGGTCTAGCGCCGGGGACCTCAATACTTGGGGTGGGGTTTGGGGTCCAATTCTACTTTAAGAACCCCAAACCCACTTTTTTGTAGGTTCTTATTATAAACCCTAATATGGGATTTATAGGGACCCTACAAAAAAGTAGGTTTTGGGTTCTTAAGGTAGTGTTGTAAGTATATAAATCCAAAGCCGGCTTGGGTCTTCTTAGCAAACAGTCGTGGCTTAGATGAAAAGCCCATGCTGCGATCAACAGTCCTTGTGGTGGTTCCCGCAGCATGACGTCTTGAATGCCTTGAGGTGCCAAGCTAAGGGGCAAGCATTTCCGCCTCATGTTGTCCCATGCCAATGCCTCCAGAGGGTTTCCTCTGTCGGATACCAGATGGCGACACATTGCGGTGCAGGTCCGTGTGTTCTTTTTTTTCTTTACCAAACCCTTCAAATGAGCACCCCTGAGCTGCAGACTGCAATCTCACGCTCCCAAGTCTGCTCAACGCAGAAACTGGAACCCTTCTCAAAGTGCGGCAATGGCATTTTTCCATCATAATTCGGTGTGATGGTCCGCCTGCTGCGACGCATCCCAGCCTTTCAAAACAAGGACGATGCCTTAACTTCGACTCTCTACCGGCCCGGAACTCTTTGTGGCGAGCTCTAGAATGACTGGTACCACACCAGCAACGCATTCAGATCTGAAAACCTCCGGACTGAAGTGCCTCATGTTTTAGGGTTTAGGGTTTAGGGTTTAGGGCTTAGGGTTCAGGGTTTAGGGTGCCCCAGAGGTTTGGAGGGTTCGATGCGCCGAAGCCAGTTCTTTGAGCGGTGTGTACAGGATCGGGGGGGCCTTGATGGGGGACCTGGCATGCATGTATTCATTTCGGGCAACTAGGAAAACCAAATGCACCCACACTCACACCCGCAAAAACAGACAGAATAACAAGAAACATGTATAACTGACTACTGTAGTTAATAGATGACTGTGTCTATATGCGCACCTCTCTGATCCTCTCTGTCTCTCTCGCCCCCCCCCCCCTGCTGGAACCCTGCCTGCCGTCCGCATTTGTTGCCGCTTTGCAGCCGTAAGAGCGCTGGAAATCGAGAGCCTCGGTCGATTGTTTTTGGACTCCTTCAGTTTTCATGTTGCTATGCTGTTTGTGCTGCCTGCATGAACTTATTCTGGGAGAGGCATACCCGAACAGATCCGAATGTACCGGTACTTACGGTCTTGAGGCGCATGTTCTAGCAGCAGACATGGAGGTCTGCATCTGTTCGGGCTAGCCTGGCACACAGCCTCACACCCCCAGTTTCAAAACCCTTTTCTTTTGCAAAAGACCAAGCCGAACATGCATACGAGCTGGACGACTGAAAACGTCAGATGGACTTCAAGGGGGATCGAACTGCGGCTTAACGAGACAGTCAATGTCAAAAGCACTAACACCTGATGCAGTGCATTTTAAGTCCCTGACCCGAAAATGCTATCTGCTCAACTGAAGATTTCTGCATTAGAGGTCCCGAGCCTACTGTGATAAGAAGAATAATAATGCCTCCAACGTCAAGCTACAAAATCTCGGATCAAATCTCGACCTCCCGAAACCGTGGAAAACAGCAGAGCCTCCCAACCCAAGCCCACACTCTAATCACTCTCTCTAAACTGAAAATCTCATGAAACATGGGAAGCCCCCATCAGCAGCTTATGTATACCCAGCACATACCACAGCACTAAACTACACTAAACCCTAAACCCTAAACCCTAAACCCTAAACCCTAAACCCTAAACCCTAAACCCGAAGCCCTTTACATGAAAAACCAAAAACTCGAATGCCAAGTCTTCCTCAGCCTTGGGCCCCGCGCAGCAAAGAGGCGCCATCCTCCGGGCATGTACGCGCCTCCGGGCTAATCAGAAGAAGAACGAGGGGCCCTGGGGGGGGGGCCCTGGGGTGGGGCGTGGGGGGGCGGGGAATTCGGTTTTTGGGAGCTTCGGGGTGGGATTGGTTTAGGGTTAAGGCTTAAGGGTTAAGGGTTAAGGGTTTAGGTTGTTGCAATGAGCCGTTGATCTTTTGGAACCCGTACTGAGGCCGATGCGTGTGACGGGGCGGAGGGTTCATCGAACAGCTCACAACAACACAGATGCAACATGCGATGCGCATCTAACTTGACATCTAAGGTCAGACGTCAGATGATCAACTGCTAAACCCAAGTCGAAGGAACCACACTAAACGAAACCCAAATCCTTGGAGCAACCAGTTCATCCCGAAGGGTGGCAATCGCGGCAGTATTCCATGCAGTATAGCCTCTGTCCTTCCAGCATATGCAGGAAATACATGCCTCCCAGCATGTTGTGATATCGGAACTTCCGGCAGCCTTCCACTCTGTCACGCCACATGAAAGAAGACCCAACGTCCTATACGACCTAACCTAAGTACACACTAGTCAACAACCTGCGTGAGGATTGGGGCTGTGAGAGCCCTGGGCTGACCCGGCTCCTGTAGATTGTACTTGGAGGATCATGGGACTTAGTAAGTAAGGTTATAAGTGCCTAAATTGGGGTTATAAGTAAAGTTACCCTAATGATAACCCTACTTACTAAGTCCCATGATCCTTTAAGTAGGGGTGAGGAGCCATGGATCGTTGTCATTTCGAGAAGGGGCGACGGGATGTTGGCCGGAGGTGGAACACACGATCTGAACAGCAACGAGAAGGACATCTTTGTCTGTCAGAACAGGTCGGCAATTTCAGTTTTCACGTGGGGCCCCACTTTCTGGCTCGCAGTTGGCAACACCGCCATAACTTGCAAAAACGGTGGTGCGACAAACCCCGGCCGAAAAGGGAAGCTGCACACAAACAACGGCTGAACAGCATAGCTCTCATCATGCTTCGGTCATTGCAGTTGACATCTCAGAGTTCCAGCAATGCAAGCGGTGACTCAGTCCCGAGCATGGGTGGTTGAACCGTGCACCTCAAGGTGCAACAGCAAAACCATGAGACATATTGAACACCTGATATAAGCCTTAGCACACACACACACACACACGCGGAGCCGCCGAAAAGCACAGAAGCGAAAGACGTGTTCGGGTCTGCTGAGACGGAGCACGCGATATCCTTCAGAGTTCACTGACCGAGGCAAGGACAACAGGGACCAGCCGACAGTCTTGTCCGACTTCCCAAATCATGACCTAAGGCCAGCTGCACCGCAAAAAGAGAACGGCTTTTCAAGGATTTCAGAACTCTACCTATAGTCTCCATTGTAGTTCCTTTTTGGGGATACCTTGTAAAATTCTTATTATATATTTGGTTAAACCAAAAAAAGGAACTACAATGGAGACTACAGGTACTGTAACTGTAATCATGCCACCTGCGCACTGGCTTCCGAACATTTCCAAACCCGGCACATCTCTGCTGAAACACGCGCTCGTCCAGTCGACAGGCCATAGATAGATTTATTCAATCTCAAGTTCACATGATGGCAACACAGCACGGCGACACAAGCGGCGCACAAACATCAACAGCTGCATCCCCTGAATTGTTGGCAAGGTGCGCCGCCCAAACCTTGCTTCAAGGCATAGAGCGTCTTCTCCCGGATAGTATCCACCTCAACAAGACCATAGGGACACCAAAATCACAATGCACCACAGAAGTGGCGAGCTTGGCGTTGCGTAAGTCGTGATTAACAAGCTGAGCAAACCGCGCCGTTAAAACCGATCGATCCTGCAACTGCCAAGTAAGAAGTAACATGTCATCTGTGTTGGGTGAAACTGAAAACAACTGAGGCACATCCTTGACCCGCTGCTGCCACAGAATCCACTTTGGGATCAAGTGGCCAGTGTTTCTGTACCTCCCACATGACTCTGCAAGCTCTGCCAGCTGCGGTGCAACAACAACATTTGGTTCTCAGCTTTCGGCCAAGTCTTCGTACGTAGTCCATTCGCCAGTGCGGCTATGGCGACCTAGCAGACTGTGCGTTTTACAGCAGTCCCTCATGCACACAACAAGTGCTATCGATGTTTAAGTCCCCTGCCGTAGAAAGGCACACCCATTGTCAATTGGAGTGGTGGCAAGATGCCCTTCCTCACAGAATCGGCATCCCCAAGACGAATTTTGGCAAACAGAATGTGAGATCCTCGGAACTGAGCAAATCACCCTTGATCGGCACTTCTCTTCCCATAGTCCATTGAACTGTGATGCCCACCGCCTGGCCGGTTGAGGCTGATGAATCTACCCCTCATGGGCTCCAGGATCAAGAACTAACAAACTCAAAACTAGTTGAATATAGGGGCCTTAATAATTAGAATAGGGTTTTGGGGCCCATTCTACTGTAATCATAATACGGACCTCCCTCCCCCCCAAAAAAAAACTATAGGTAATTATTGAGGCCCCTATATTAAGGCTTCTTCACCGCCTTCCGCCAGACTCTAAGCCCTGGGCATGAAAAGAAGCACATCTGCAGATGCGACAGCCCTACCCATAGGCCCCATAGTAGTTCCTTTTTGGGATTACCTAATAGGATCCTAAATATAAGCCACGAAAAGGAACTACTTTGGGGGCCTATGGGTAAACCCTAAACCCTCAACCGTTGACAGGATTGCCTTGGTCATAGCTCATCATGTGTAAGAGGTCCACCACCCTGGCACAGGCCGTTGGGGTTTAGGGTTTAGGGTCTGGGGGTTTAGGGTCTTGGGGTTTAGGGGTATAGGGGTTTAGGATGCTGCATGTCACAGCATCACACACTGGTGCTTGTACGTGTGTAGGCATATGCTAATTCTCTGCTTGCTGGGAACTGCGATATGTGATTTTCTATGTAGGCCATTTGCGTGCAAGTACGGCTGTTGACAAACCAACCACGATATCGATTTTTCAATCTTTCTGAATGGCAGAGTCTGGGTGCGTGACTCTGAAATACCTGCGCAAAGCACCACAATGCAGCAGCCGTAGATTCGGTTCAATGCCGACATTCCGGGGCACGATGTTCCTTCAGCAATTGTTCTTGCCGACCGTCCGGATAATATGCCATGGTGATCACCTACGACATCAAGACAACAAGGCAGGCTTCTCCAGACTTGATTGGTAACAATTGCACCGCTGCAGCTGCCACCTGCTAACAGCGATGCCCGGCCTTGGAATTCCACTTGTGCTTTGAAAACATCGCTCGCGTTGAGAACCTTTCGCTGGCAGAGCTGGCGGCTTCTGCAAGCATGCGTCCGATGCTCAGCGTCTCACACAAGCTTGGACAAGCCTTTGTAGTCCGCGTTCACCTCTCGTTGAGCACTGTCGCAAGTCGCTCGCCGACATGCGTGACTTTGCAAAAGCCAAAGCTACGATTGCGATGTGGCACCTCCTCCTCGGAGAGGTAGCCCTGTCCGAATCCTCGGCTGAGACGAAAGCGAGATTCCAGACCACAGCCCCGGCTACGGAAGGATGCAGACTTGAAAAGGCGCTGCTGAGTGGCGATAGCCTGGGTACTCCCAGTTGTAATCTACCTCAGAAGTTATTCAGGCTTGGTAGGTATGTGCAGTCCATGCTGGAGAATCTGGGAAGGCCACACCGTCGAGATCGTATTTTGCGATGAAGTTCCCGAGCTCCTAGCAAGAACGAGACCGCAAAAGCTTCAACTGCTTCGCTTGCTGAGGCATCCTGCGTGAAAGCTGGGGCAGCCTCGTCACAAAGACCCAAGTCTGCTTTGTTACTTTGTTACGAACCGACGGACCATCCTTCGATGCGAAATTGGAGCAGCGCCGCTAGTGCTTGCCGCATGCCCACTTTCGCAAGAACCACCATCCGGAGGTCGAGCGTGACCCTACACACTAAATGTCTTCGCAGACACCTTCACAAAAGATCCTATGTTCTCCACGGCAGTGGAGTGTCCAAGTTGCACGTGCAAAAGAAACCGGTGAAAGCTCCACTGCGTCACACCGCGTCAGGCAAACGAGTGACACCTCAGCGTCAGCAGGCGGCATCATAATATGCAGGAAGCATGGCCCACTGCCGGTTTCAAGTGTCCCATGCAATACGAAGCCCTGGAGGATTTGTTTTAGCGGGTTTGTGCGGACTGGCCCAGACGTAGAAATTTAAACGTTGTTTGAAATCTAGGAAATCTAGCTTATTTTCTGTCAAAGCACCGATCATAGAATCGCGCGTGATAATCTCTTGCAGCTTCTCTTCCGTCCAGTTCTCGGTACCTGAGAGGACGATGCCCTCGACATTCACTAGTGGTTGTTCCAAGCCACAAAAGTCAGTACAGTAGTAGTGGGAGTAGAGCATCCTATGTTCACCAATGCTCGAGAAACAAGATCTTCTTCCATCTCCAAAAGTCCGATAGCGGGCCTACCTCAGGAGCAAAACCCCCAAGCTGCTGCGGACTGCACAAAACAGAACATGCACAAAGATGAGGAGACCGTGTAACACTGTCACAAGCTACCTTGCTTGCATGAATAGTGCCCAATGCGGCAACTTCGGTTTTTTGCTCCCGCATGGCAGTTCCCAAAGGCCCACATGCCAGCTATCCCGTCACGCTTTGAGTCAGGCAACTTGGGTTGAATCAGCCCGAAAACTTGCGATGCGATAGACATGTAACAGAATGTAAAGCATGGTCTGAGCCCAGAAATGCCACAACGTCTGACACAACACAGCCGTCCAAAGATCACTAAGGCCTCAACTCAAATTGTCAGGGGTCTCAGTGAGACAGTTTTCGACGCGTGTATATGGGGGTGTAAGAAAGTACAACTATACTTAACTTGCTTATTTCCCTACTTCCTTAGTCCACTGATCCTTTAACTCTCTTCTTCAACAATCAGGCCCAAAAAAGATCAAACTTTTTAGGATAGACCTAATAGAGAAGGCCAAAAAGTTTAAAGTTCTCCTATTGGCTATCCAAGTTAAGTAAGCACTGCAACATCCTGACGCACTGAGAGCGACCTTTAGGACGATTTGGGAGAACCAGAAAGCGGCAGTCCGCGGTGGAGTCGTGCACCACCACCTGCAGTGTGTTTACTTGTGGGGATTTAGGTTTGGGCGTTGGGATGTCAAGGCTTCTTTGCAAGTGTTTGTTTATCGATTCGATTTTTTCGCCGATCCCGTTGATACTTGCTACACCAGTAGAATGTCCGAGAACAGTGGTAAGGCACAGGATCTCAGGAGACGTCCTCCATGACTCGACACTATATGCCTTACACAAGCAGCGCAGAACTCGAGCCAAGGGGATGCAATGCATCGCCGACCGTCGTCCCGGCAATTAGACTTTCCACGCTCGCGGGCGGTGAGCCACAACGAGGCGGCACCGTGTCCAGAGTTGAGTGCATTGCGGCCTGCTCTCCGTAAGAAAGGCGCAAAAGGGTGCCTTTGAGGCCCCGAAACTCTGAAGTCCTCCACCATTTGGCCTTGTTTACTCTTGTTTTCCCCCTGGCCTGCATGTCAGCAGGAATGTCGGTTCCGAACTCTTTCAACACGGAGCGAGGCTCACGTACAGCGCGCGATCGGTATTCTCGAGACTTGTACCTGGGAGAGGATCCAGAACCGAAGGACCGCCGTTGTCGTGGCGAGCGGGCTACTTAAGGCGAAAGGAAGCCCAGCAGCCAATCCGGGGAGAGCCCCAGCAAGGTCAACGGATAGCAGCTACCTCAGTTCACAGTCTTGCATGGAGAGGTAAATCTGGTCGAGTCGCATCTATGGCAATCTGTCTGAGCGACTGGCATCAACAAGGCTCATAAATTGCTGGATCATGTAACGCACTTCGAACCTCAAACCAACATGTTACACTCCGCAAGAATTGTCTCAAGCTGGGGCGCAGAGAGTGCAGACGATCAGGTGGTGCTCCTCTCTACAGCTGTTTGGCTGCTTACCGTTTGCACGAGCTCCTTAAGCCGACACATGAACTACCCGGCCCCAGGCATGCAGGCTTCATGGAATCATGCCAGACTTTGCAACTGCCACAAAGGCGAGCATAGCATGGCTAACAGGATCTGGCGGCCGTGTGTAGGCTTGTAGGGAAAAGCAAAATGCGAGCCTTCACCACCTTACTGAAATTATGGTTGCGATTGGTATGCTCAAGATTACTACCATTATTCTCTGTTTCTGGCTAGCCCTAACCCCCCAGGCCCCCCAGGTACCTACTATATAGGGTGCTAGAGCCCCTAGGGCCTTATATAGTAGGTACCTGGAGGGCTAGGGTAGGGTACTTTTTGTTGTTGCGCATGAGCTCGAGCCGGGGGTTCCTCAGGCTTTTGCTCGAAGACCACGAGCCGCGTCGGTGCCGTCGGATTCGTCGCTGAGATTCCCAGCTCGGAGCAGGCGCTGTTGGCATCGGAGAGCAGCCGGGACTTAAACCTTGCTTGGAGGTTCATGGGTAGTTATACATGGGTTATAAGTAGGGTAACTATACTTATAACCATAACCCATATTGGGGGTCACTTCGAGCTATTGTTGACTGATGACGAGCCTAAAGACTTCGATGTCTGGATCATGACAAGACAGTTCCTCGTTTGTTGCGGAATGTAGCCGCGTGGTAAGCATAATCCACTGAACTGACTGAATCACCTTCGTAACCCACACGGCCACGATCAACTTGAGGCTCGGGCGTCTCGTCCTTGGCTTGGCTTATACCATCTCCGATGCTTTGGGAATATCACAACAAGGCTTGGTACCTTCAAGCCTACAAGAACAGCCACGTTTTTGATACATCAAAATGATGTTGATAGTCATCGCTGCGAAAACCGAACCAACAATGGCTCTGATCAATGGCTCTGATTAAAGCAGAAGAGCTATTCGTTGTCGCTGTATTCTTTCTGCAGTTGGATTTTCCCACCCGGCCAGCTGACAAAGTCGCACTGCAGGGTGCTCGTCGGAAGGAGACATGCTCAGGTGAAGTCCCAAGGCGATGCGCTCTCTCCGAAGTAATCAAAGCCAGCAGCAGCAGTGGGATATTGCAACACAGCATCGACATGTCGCGAAGGATTCTGGCGAATAGGGTCGCTGTGAACTAAAAGGCCCAAGGTTCCGTCCAAGCCCGTGCCACCACGCGACGTCCGACCTTGACCACTGAAACCAGAGGACCAGAGCCTTGTACAGAAAGGACCTCCGAATCGCGAAACGAAACCGCTATGGCAATCGACCTGACACTGAACCCATTGTTCAATTCAACCCGAAAACTTGCGCCAGGTGTTCCCAAAACGTCCTCCATGTGCATTAGTGAACGCAAACACTGTGGTCTCTACGATCATGCCAGATATCAGTCTCTTTGAGGTCCCAGAAATTTCGGTTGCCCAGCAAGGCGCTGCTCCTCGCTGCTGCTCTCCTGCATCTACCTGCACTTGGAGGTTCATGGGTAGTTATAAGCGGGGTTATAAGTCCCCTAATATGGGTTATAACTATAGTTACCCTACTTATAACCTTATTTATAACTACCCATGAACCTCCAAGCAGTCAAAGTCGGGACCCATCTATAGCGCTTTCAACTATCACTAGGTTGCCCCTTCTGCACTACTGCTACCATACTGCTCTTGAAACTCGATTATTCATGCTTGTATTTCCATTGTCATGATTATCATCAAAGTCTTTATGGGCCCGAAGTAGAAACCCAAAGCACTTCAACGGCGAGCCCCGATCTCTTCCTGGCCTTCTCAATGCCAACTCGGAGCTCCTCTGCTGCGATGACGCCTGACACGGTTGCACGAGGTTGGCCCGTCGAATTGATCGAAACATAATAGCTCGTCAACGAGATCCTCTGACGCCCAATAAGGGAACATCTAAAATGTCCCTGTATTCATTGAAGAACATTCGTCAATGAGATCCTCTGAAGCCCAATTACGGGAAAATCTAACATGTCCCAGAGGCCTACCTATTCTCATGTTTAGGAGTCATGAGTTTGCCATGCCATGCAACGCTGGAACCCGGACCATGGCCCGACCGCTGCCGCTCGTGGCCTTTGCTCAGCAAAGCCGACACCAGAGCGCGGGCAATGGGCGGGCAAGCAACCTGCTCAACAGCCGCCATGAGTTCGTTTCAACTGACAAAAAAGTTGAGATATGCCAGGGATGAGAGTCGCCTTCTCAGTGCAACAAGGATGCAAGCAAGACAGGGTACAACAAAAAAACAAAAAATCCCATAATGAGAGCAGGCACAACAATACAACAACACAACAACATAAACCAAACCACCGAGGACGAAAAGAAAGACGACCTGCGATGAGGACGCTTTCAACAGTCGACTACCATTACTGTTGCTGCTCCCGCTCCCACTCCTCCTCATACTACTACTGGTACTATGATGACGACAACGACAAGCGCTACTGCTCCTAATCGTCCTACACTTCTAGCACTCCTGGCCTCCAACTTGCACTCACAATTTCAGAGTGCTGAGAACTGTGAGGGACTCCCTTCCTCCACAGTGAGCCTCCTCATCCACAGCGCGCTGCTCAACCGTGTGCCGCTCCTGGCGGAATTCAACGCCAGGAAGATTTCTACTCTCTACGAGTGCGGTTTCGACACACCCAGCAAGTTTGACCACTCCTTCGTAGCTACAGCCATGCACTAGAGTCGGCTATCAACTGACGAACAGAAAGGAAGCAGCAGGCTGTCGCGACTCTCTGCAGGGTCTGGCAACGAGATCTGCAGGTTCGCACAGCTTGTGCGAGGGTAGTCTACCTATAGTCTCCATTGTAGTATATACTAACGATTTTATATGGTATCCCCAAAAAGAAACTACAATGGAGACGATAGGTATGGCCGAAGGTGGCTCGAAGCAGCCCACATCCCGAACTCTACATCCCGATCCTCGAGGCCTGCACAACTCCCTCGGCCGGAAATGCCCGTCCTCGTGGACGTGGTCGTGCCCCTTCGGTCTGCATTTCTTCGACTTGCAGATTTCCCAGGTTGGAGACTCGAAGTTCTCTCCACCTAAACCCTAAACCCTAAACCCTAAAAGTAGGTAAAATATAATTGCCCAAAACCCACTAAAGGCGATTATTCCACGTACTTTTGGGGTCCAGGCAACACGGACTCTGGAACGAAGAGGGTTTGCTTGTCGCAACCGTCTTTGAGTCACGGGAGGGCGTCGTGCTTGGAGTCAGACGCCGATTTGAAACCAATCTGCCACGATCCAACATGAAGAGGGTCAAGGATCAAGCCCAACCCTAAACCTTAAACTTTAAAAACCCTTAAGCCATGAGAGAGATTGAACCGCGGCCAAGAGCCTCATGCTCCGGGTGATTCTCGGTACGGGCTCTCTTGCAGTCCTGTTGGATCGAACAGGCACTTTGCGCCGCGCTCGGGGGGCCAAGGGTTTCTCGCTCGTTGCTTTCCGCTGCCAGAGGCTCCATGCACTTAGTTATCAGACTTGGCAGGACTCCTGCCAGCAGTCCCTAAGGGAGCTGGGCCAAGGGTTTCGGCGCTCACACTCGGACGCTCCAGGCGAGGCATATGGTTCGAGGTCTGCAATGAAGTGCAAAGGGTTTAGGGTTTATATAGGGCTCAGGGGCTTCGACGCTCACACTCGGACACTCCAGGCGAGGCATGCGGCTC